ACCTGTAGTGATCCTACAAACAACAGACCTGAAGCCAGTCCTGTGCCATCCTCACACTTTCTGACACACTAGAGTTAATTGTAGTAGTCACTGTGTCAAACCACCTAGTTGAGGGTATTCCTCTCCTTTGCTGAACCTCTGCCCTTCTGAGCATCATGTCCCTCTCCAAGGAAAAGCCCCTCTTAGCAACATGTCTAGAGTATGTGAGGTGAAGCTTTATCATCTTTACCTCCAAAGAGCACTCTGGCTGCACCTTCTCCATGACATATTTGTTTGTTCTTTGGGGAGTCCATGAGATGTTCAGGACTCTTCTCCAAGACCACAGCTCAAAGGAATCAATTCTTCTACCATCATTATTCATTTCCCAGCTCTCAGGTGCAGAGTAAGTGTTCGGAAAGACCCTGACATGACAGACACAATATAGTCCTCAAACGGAATCATTTTTCCTCAATAATTTGGAGGAGTTTCTAACTGCAGACTTTCTCAATGCAATACATCTCCTTATTTCTTGACTGCTGGTAGCAAGGGAAATTGTGGATCCAAGTAAGATGAAGTTGGTTGAATTTCAATCTTTTCTCCATCAATCATGATGCTACCAAATCAGACCAGTGGTAAGAATCTTTGTTTTGACGCTAAGATGCAATCCATATTGCAAGCTGTATTCTTTGCTCTTCTGTAACAAGTGCTTCAAGTCCTCCTCGTTTTCAGCAAGCAAGGTTGTGTCATCTGCCTAAAACAGATTACTGATGAGTCTTCTGATCCTTCATAAAGGCTGGTGGCTGGGCCTTTGTGATTAAAAGCTGTGTCCTGTGGGCCTGGTATGAAGGCTGATTTGCCATTAGGGTTACAAACTAAATTGTCAATTTGTTGTGTTTGTGGAGAATATTGTTCTAATTAGTACAGCACTTGTCTGTCAGTTTGCTGTACTGAGATAGCTTTCAGTAACACAGAAACCCATAAGTTATCTCACAAGTGTTCAAATGACACAAGGATTACTCATGGCAGACAGGTTTTAGTAGAGTTCCCAGATTAAGATTGCAGGATTGGCCATCTACTTCCTAAATAACATGCCTCTGAAAATTATATGAATAGTACAGGAATGCAGTACATTACATGACAAAAAAATAGGGCTAAGATCTAAATAGGGCTAAGATCTAGATTTCCAACATTATCGGGCCTAGCCCAGGAAAGAAATAATTTGAGACAATCTCAATGTCTTTTTAATTAAAAATTTATTGAGTACCTACAATATGTCAGCGTCCAGCTCAAGAATAAGACTCCCAGATGAGGAAATGCTGGTGAAAGAGGCAGCCCTGGGCAATGTGAACAGGTAAGCGTTTGACTGCTAACTGAAAGGCTGGCGGTATACCCGGAGGTGTCTTGGGAGAAAGACATGGTGATCAAGTTCCTGGTGACACCGCCTTGAAAACCCATGGCACAATTCTATTCTGGCTAGAAATGAAGTCAGAGCCTGTGACTCCCTCTCCAGAGAGAGACTGCCATTTCTGGTCACATCTCAGGACGGCTGAAAGTGGCCTGTAGTGAGTGTGCCTGCCTTCTTTTTGAATAGTGTTTCCAATGTCTACAGAGGTCACTTAGGTTGGTAGATTGGACTCGGGGGGAGGAAGGTCACCGAGAAAGGGTGGGGCTTGGTTGCATCAGGGTTACATGCGAGTGTATAAAGCATTCTAGGGGTGCATGCAGTACTCTGGGGGGCGTGCTGATGAAAGATGAAGACGGGCCATCACTTGGCAGCTGGTCGACTTGATTTTTGCCTCGTTGACTTATGCTACCCCATGGATGGCAAAAAAAAACAGGTAAGTCTGTCTTGAAGGAAGTACAACTAGAGGTGCTCTTCAGAGGTGAGGACAGCGAAACGTCATCTCACACATTTTGGGCATGTTGTCAGGAGGGGCCAGGCCTTGGAAAAAAGACATCATGTTGGGAAAGGCAGAGGGTTAAAGAGAAGACCTCAACAAGATGGACTGGCAGAGTGACTGTAACAATAGGCTGGAGATGGGGCGATGGTGAGGACGGCACCGGACAGGGCAAGGTTCACGGGGTCGCTATGAGTTGTAGTCGACTTGACGGCACCTAACACCAGCAACAACCCTGTCGAGCTGTTGCTCCTCACCAAGAGGAGGGCTGGGCCTGTCACTTTTCGTCGCCTCTCCAAGGTTAGCGTGTTCCTTTTTATCACCAGTCACTGATGGTGAGTCACACTTCCAGGCAAGAGCCGGGCTGCTGGTGACATGGGAGGAACCAGCTCTGCAGAAAGACAGCCCTGTGCTCCGTGACTCTGTAATTGGCACTTGAGCTGGGGTCCCTCTTCATGTCACTGTGCCCCTCGGAAGCATCGGGGTGCAGAGCTGGATTCTTTGGTGTAAATCCTGAATAAACCTCAGGCAGCCATCCAGAGGTGTCCCTGGGTGGTGCAAATGGTTCATCTCTTGGCTGCTAACTGAAAGATCAGAGATGCACATTGACCCAGAGATGCTGCTAAAGAAAAGTCTAGTTAACTGCTTCCAAGAAATCCGCCGCCAAAAACCCCAGAGAGCACAGTTCTCTGAAACACGAATTGGAATCCACTTGATGGCAAATATTTCTTTTAAAAAGTAATATAAAGCAGAAATTGGCAAGCTACAATCTTTGGGCCAATCTGGCCCACCATGTATTTATGCTAATACATCTTCATTGTAACACAGGCTCTCTCATTCATTTTGATAGTCTTTAGGGCCATTCTCATGTCACTATGGCAGAATATTTGCAACAGAACTTATGTCTAATGAAGAGGCCCTAAAATATTTAATATTTAGCCCTTTTCAGAAATACATATACCTCATTCCTCGTCTAGAGCTGTGAGACCATGGTTTTACTTATTTAAACTGGAGGCAGAGTATTACAATTAGGGATCTTGGAGAATCTCGGATGTGCTGGGCAGAATCTAAGGCAAAGACTCAGTGAGTCATGTGGAAAGGAGTCAGGCTTGCCTGAGTTGGTGCGGGAACCTCCAGGAAGGTGAAAACTTGACCACAAGTACTTAGGGGACAGGTGGAGCCCAAGCCTGAGAGGTCCAGAGGCGTCTTGGAAAGCTCAGCACTGCCCCTACTGGCAGCACTTGGTATTGCTGAGTTGCAATTGTAAACACAGTCTTCATGGGGTGAGGGAGGGAGGCGAGATTTAAACACCATTCCAGGACAGGCAGGTAAAACCACACTTGGGCTGAGGCTCTGGCTTTAATTAAGGTTCCTGTACTCGTGGAAATTCAGTAGGGCAAACAGGCTTGTTTGGGAAAGCAAAATTTGACATTTTGGGAGTTGCATTTATTATTTTGCAATCCAAATACCAATTAATATGTTATGTAGTACTTAAAAAACAAAACAAATACAAAAGGTGATGGTGGACAGCACATGCTTGGGTTTCTGAGGCTGTAAGTCGCACAGGTGGAAGCTGCCCACCTTCCTCCCACAAAGCTGCTGGTGGCTTCACACCACCAGAGGGCGTAGCACAACTGCACAGACTAAGCCCCTGGAGGCCCCTGAACAACCCTTAGATTGAAACAGCCCTTGATATTTAAAATAAAAAGTGGTACAATACCCTTTCCAGCATGGCCAGTATCCTATCATTCTATTAACTCCAATTCTTCCCAGTGACCTCTTAAAATTCAGATAGTGTGGTGGTCTTCTGCAGCAAATACACCATTGAAAAAGTACATGCAAATCTAGGTAATGGAATCAAATCAGATTTCCATGGACTACGAGTTTGTTCCTGATGTCCCTTCCTTGTAAAGCGTAACAGCCATCCTTAGTTGAGGGGAATTCAGATTTGGGGGGCTTTGAAGTGAGGTTACTGCCCTCTGGTGTAGAATATTTAGGGCTCCTGGGTGGTGTGGACTGTTACCATGTTCAGCTGGTCTACCTGGAGGCACGCTGGAAGAAAGGCTGAAAAAGTCAGCCACTGACAACTCCATGCAGCATTAACTAAAGAAGTCAAGTTCACTGCCATCGACTTGCAACTCAGCCATAGCTGACCCTTCAGTAGATTTTCAGAGGCTGTAAATCACATAGGAAATGGCCCATCTTTCTCTCGTGGGGCAGTTGGGGGATTCGAACTGCTTGCTTTTGGGTTGGTACCTCATCCCCTTACCTACTAGGCCACCAGAGCTCTTTCTATACAGCATGTTGTTGTTGTTATTGTATGCCTTCAAGTCAAACTGACACATAAGTGACTCGCCAGCAGTAAATCCCGGGAGGAAATTGCCCATCCTTCTCCCAAGGAGCAGCTGGTGGCTTTGAACCACATGCCTTTGGTATTACAACACAGCTTCTTACCAGTAGGCCACCAGAGCTCCTTCAATTCGGTACTATAGTTGTTGTTATGTGCGGCAGTCGAGTCGCCTGTGACTCATAGAGACCCTATGTACAACATCTAATAAATCTTTTTTGCTGTCTTATCAAGCTGGCTTTCCCCGCAAGACCTGAAAGTAGTTGTAGGGTCACTATTTGCTGATCCTGCCAATATACATATAGAGTCCAGTGATATTGTCTTGCTACACACTAATCTTTAATACAAATAACTCATCTTTCTAGAATTTTGGCTTTAATTCATTTTCCTTTACAGCATGAAAAATGCCTAACTCAGCATTAGTTGACCAGACTCTCTATTCATTTAAAATACTTAAAACCTGCATTAAAATGTAAAAAGTGCACTAGACCATATCCCCGACGGAGCTGAGTATTAAAAAAAAATATATATGTATTTTATAACTCAAAGTTGTTGAGATTTATTTCATAAAAATGCCAGTATTCTCCCACCAGATCCCTAGAGATACAATGCTGCTCGCCTAAGGCTGGGTAGACGGCATGTGGGCCCAGGATCCTTCTGAAACAAGACTGAGTTCTAAGCTGACGTGTGGAAGGAAGCAGGGCCTAGAAGTGCCACAGTGCTGGCCGGGGCCGGTGGTCGAAGCTGTGTCTGAGTCTGGTGCAAATGCAGGGTGCTCAGATGTAGAATTCCTCCATCTCGCTGTCCCCAGGGCCTGTCTGGGAGGTATCTCTGCTGGTTGGCTGGACTCTGTGGTGGTCACTAGGGGGTCCCTGGGATGACTCTGTGAGTGAGGAGACGCTGGTGGCCGAGGACACAGCGACAGATGTTGCTGAGGAGCTGGGAGATCCTTTGGCGAAGGAAGCTGGGTTGGGTCCCAGGGCTGGCGTGCTCCCAGCAGGCAGTGGCCCGTCCCTGGAGTCCTTGTGTGGTGGCCAGTGGCTGGCATCTGAGACCGCGGGGAGGCCTGTCTCCACACTGCTGCAGAACCTACTGGGAGCAGAGTAGGCTGAGACCACGGACAGGTCAGAGGAGGACAGCCTCAGGCCCGTGTCCACATCAGTCTCCTGGGCCCCCTCTAAGTCGTCAATGGAAAGGAGCTGGCCCTGCCTCCACACTGTAGCCCGGTGTCCTGGGGGGTCTGTGCCTGAGGACCACGGTGGTGATCTGGCCAAGGAGGCTAGGGAGGGGCCTCCTGTGGGCAGACAAAACAAGGACTTGCTTCTTGGGAAAGAGCAGGGGTGGGTGGGAGGGCTGGCAAATTCCCGCTGGTCCCCGTTAGGCAGGCCCACGGGGCCGAGCTCTGGGTATGAGGTGTCTGGCAGGGGCTGAGGGCTGCGGCGGGGGGCCTGGTTCGGTGCTGTGCCACTCGGGGAGGGGATGGAGGGAGGCCGCTTCTCGGAGGAGTGGTGCACTCTGCTGGGCCTGGAGAACCTCCTGTGTACCTTCTGTGCCTGCCAGAGAGAAGACATGCTGTTAGTGCAAGCTCCGCTCGCCTGAGAAACTCCTTCTGTTCCCCTGGGGTCCAGGGAGTTGAGGTGATCCACGCAGGACATCTGCTGTTGGATGACCACCAGAGAGGTGCAGCCCTGGAGTAAGCAGCTCAAGTCCCTACACATCGCATCACCAGAGGTCCCTAGAGAAAGACAAGGAAAGGCAAAAATGTACAAACTAAAGGTTATTAGTGGTTATGGGAGCACGGGCGTGGGGGAGGAAGGTACGTTAGTGGTGGTGGAAAATCCCACTGATTAAAAGCTTCACAGCTGATTCATGTAGCTGTTGATGCTGGCAGGGTCTCCTGTGGTTTAGCTGTTGAGTTGGAACCCATCGCTGGCCTTCCAGCCAGGATTCGGAGGCGGTACATGGCACGGGAGGCAGGGATTCCAGCACTCGGGATTTCACTTCCAGGAGCCCTGAGAAGAGGTAAAAGCCCCAAACTCAAGAGAGATAAAGCCAGGGATAGGGGACGGTCAGAAAACCAATGAAAGTCACTGTGATGGAGAGAAATTGGAACATTCCGACATCATAGGGCTCCCTGACATCATGGCTGCCAAAGCACGCATCTAGGCTCGTGCAACCAGGGTGCTCCTTAGAGGCAAGACGGGGAAACGTCGTCTCGGAAAAAGCCATCATGCCTGGAAAAGTAGAGTCAGCAAAAGAGAGGAAGCCCCTCAGCGAGGTGGACTGGCACAGTGCCTGCAAGAGCGGGGCTGAGCATGGTGGAGGGTGAGGGTGGCACGAGGTAGGACACAGTTTCTAGCTCTTGTTCATAGAGGCTGTCATTGACCTGATGATTTCTAACCACCACCACAAGCTAGGAACCACCGCTTGAGGCTGACCTTCCGATTGTCTCTCACGTCTGACTCTATTTATCTTGTGTCTGGGGCATGAAACGACTTTTCTGGCTATAGGAAGTGATAGTCTTCATGGTTATATACCCCGTTTTTATAACTATATACTCTTTGAAATGTCAAGAAACACATTTTTGTCTTATTCTCTGTGAACTCACAATCTTCTGGTTCTAAAATGATTTTATTCTGAAAATGATGAAAACCAAGGCCCAGGCTACCATGTCCATGTGCTTGGTTTTTTTTCCCCCTGAGAAAACTTGTGGGGGAAATTAAGCCCAGCCCAGATCTAAACCTGACCCCAATCCACTGTGGAGGTGTTCATTCTGGTGCCCAGTGACCCCACTGGTCAGAGCGGAGCTACTCCATAGGGTTTCCACAGCTATTATCTTCATGGAAGGAATAGGAAGATGCATTGTCAACCCAAAGGTAAGTGGTTCAAACCCACTGCCTGCCTCTGAAAGCCCACTGGAGGGTCAGCTATGAGTCAGTTTCAATTGGACAGCATATAACCACTTTTACGGGAGCAGACGGTCACATCTTGCACGGGTTGAACCGCTGATGATTCCATTCGTAGCTCAGCCCTTTAACCACTGCCCTCCGGAGCTCCCAGGCCTTTGTCTTACCCCTGCTGTGTTAATTCAATTAGCATCCACTTCCATCCCTCTTGTTGAAACCCATTCTGACTACAGTCTACAGAGCCTGCCCCCTCAATTAACCTTCTTCTGGAAAATGGACTCGGACAATGGAAATAGCAGACAGCTCCATTATCATGTTCCCCTATGAATGAGCTCTACATCGTTTTCACCTACAAATCAGTTTGTGGCATAAATCTTGCTTTTCAGGATTGGGTCTTTGTTAGTTCCAGCCATTCCTTCCTATGGTTTAAATAAGTCTGCTTTTTGCAATATTACCCACTTAAAACTGCTAAGAGCACACTATATGCAATACAGCTTCTGAAAGCTGCAGCCTGTTTAAGGTGGAAACCTGCCAGGAAAGGAAAATGTAACCATTTCCCACTGAATGAGTGACAGAAAAGTGGTAAAATGGCATCCTATAAAAAATGGAAGATTTACAAGATCAGGAAAAATAGGACAGTCCTGTGATGTCCTCACAGGTTTGCTGTATTTGTGTGTCCCAGATACACAAGGCCCTATGTCAGAAGAGATCAACTAACTGACCACAGAACACAGACCCAGGCTGACCAAGAGCCCTGCCCAGTCTTCATCAGGGTCCTGTGCATCGCTCAGTACGTGAAGAGAGCTTTCAGTAACAATATCTCTGTTCAGCAAACAGGATTCGGGTCAGCACCTCACCTCAAGGTTTCCTGGGTTAATGAGAAGCAAGTGCCAGGAATACACCAGGGGGAATTCACCTTACTGCTTCCGCACAAGGGAGCTCTAGTGGCCCTAGTGGGGAGGGAATCGTACTGCTGACCCAATGCCCACGTCTCTGGCAGTCTGAATCCATCAGCACCTCCTAGGAAGAAGAAAGACGGGCAACAGACGATTAGCTAGCATCTCCAACTTGAGGGCAATGAGTTGAAACTTTCAGTTTTTGAGCTTCCGCACAGCAGTAAGCATTAGGCTCCTAGATGCTTTCAGAGCAGAAATCTGCGAGGGCTTCCTTGTAAGGTAAAAAGTTAGTAAAAACATAATGCAAGTACTATTATTAAGATGCAGGTGCAGAAATGGAAGGGCATGAAGAGATGTGATACTCAGCAAATGTATCATCTAAGTTTGTTCACCAAAGACAAGATGGGACCAAGTACCTTTGCATAATCTAAATGGGGCCTGCATTGTTGTAGGTGTCTTTTCAGCAATCCTAACAAACTGGCATGTGGTCAGCTGGCCGTTTGCCTGAGGAAGTAATTGCAACTTGAGGATACTAGAGCCAGAGAGGTTGTCTCGGCCTGGGATGGGCCCATTCTGCATTGCAGAGGACAAGGGGTTGGACTCGATCCCTATTTCTTTGGGATCTGGGTGGTTCAGAGTAAATGGGACCCTGTGGGTGAGAGAGGGTACCTAGGCCCGTCACAGCTCATTAGCTGGCTCCCTGGGCCTTTTAAGGCTTGACCTGCCCTGGCTGGGGGTGAGCTACTCTTCCATTTGTTATCCAGACAAGGTCTATGCACATCAGTTGGCTGAAATCCTGAAGTATCAATGTAGATTTCTAATGTCCTCCAATGTAGCTCTGACTCTCACGGGCGGGGGGGGGGAAGGGGGGGATTAAAAAACATCTTTAAAAAAATTCAATTCATTAAAGTTACCAACATCAAGCCCAATTTTACCCTGAAACTGTTTGACTGGAGTTTAATAAATATATTTTATTAATAAATTTGCACATGCTAAGATATTAAATGACATTGGTAGTTTAATTTTCTTAAACATTTTAAACTGTGTTTATTCATTTCCAGTCCTCATTTTCTTAAGTTGTGCAGTTGTCTGATTCAGAAACAAAACGCTTCAAGTCCTTACATGATGAAATCTAATCAATTATACCGATAAACACAGTGCATATTAAATTCTCTTCGGTATTCCCATGTCACACACCTAGGAAAGCTTCCCTCTTAAATCTCTCAATTTAAAACTGCAAATCTCCATCAACTGGGTTCACAAGATTGACCTTTTTTTTACCTCTACCAGGCCAAATTCTATAAAATACAGTGCATTCCTAAAACAACAAACATGAACAAAGTCTTTCTGAACTTAACATAAAACTCATTCCTATGGTGCGTTTTGTTTACTTATTTTTATACGCAGTTCTGGATTTCCCTGGGGTTCAACATTAGCAACCACTGCTATCTGAGCCCCGTGGAGTCTGTTCTGACTCAGGGAGCCCCTGCGTGTAGAGCAGGTCTGCTCTTAAAAGTTTTCAAGGACATGAACTTTTGGAAGAAGACTGCCAAGCCTGACTCCCAAGTAGTTTCTGGAAGAGTTAGAATTACTAATCTTTTGGTTAATAGCTCAGCCCTTAGCCACCTGCACCACTCCTGGGAGTCATAAGCATCTGAACAAATGCTGTTTTTGTTGTTGGTAGGTGCCACTGCGTTGACGACAGCTCATAATGACTCTATGAACCACAGATCTGCACCTAGCCCTAGCGTGTGCCGGCCTCACCATCTGCATCATGCTCCTGTCCACTGCTACAGTCACTCTGTCAATCCATGTGGCTGAGAATCTTCTCTTTCATAGCCCTTTTATCTTTCCCAGTTTGATGCCTTTCCCCCAGGACTTGGCTGTCCTGCCAACAGGTCCAGACTTCGAGGTAAAGTTTCCCCATCCTTGCCTCTAAGGAGGCCTTCCTTCAAGATAGATCTCTCTGTCCTTCTGGCAGTCCATGCTGCTGGTATGTACTGTTGAGTCAGGACCGACTCATAGCTGACACTCCAGAGGGCTTTCAGAGGCATTAAATCACATGGGAGGAAACCGTGCCTTTAGGTGGGCAGTGCAACTCCTTTCCACGAAGACACCAGAGCTCCCTTTTAGAGTCGACAGGATGTCAACATCACAGTTCAAAGCATCAATTCTTCTTTGGTCTTCTTTACTCACTGTCCAACCTTCAGATGCTTAACCTTGGGAATCCCAAGAAAGATAGCATGGTGTCAATGAAACGAAACAGGGGCTGCCACCCAGCCGACTGAGGTGCATGCAGACAGATTTGTGCCAGGAGTTGAGATCTGGAGCTTAGGAAAAATATCTTGCAACACAGAGGGAGGGATGAGTGGGGCCTCTTTCAAGCAACAGTATCAGAGATTCTGGGGCTTAAAGGAAGAAGCTGATCACATGGCCTATATCCTTGGATTTAAATCACATGGTTACCTAAGTCTACCTTACTGATGGACTTTTGCAAGCCCCTCTCAGATCTCACCATTTCTAAATTAGCTCTGCTTTTAATACAGGACTCTTAAGACTTTTGGATTTTACCAATTGGATTTTGCACAGTCCCTCTGATAAGCAGGGGTTCTTGGGAAATGGGAGAGAGAGGTGAGCTGAACCTAGAAGGCTTCAAAGACACCGTGCAAATCGGATATTAAAGAAGCCACCAGAGCAATCTCCTCCTGTGCAAATCACAGCCTCCAAAAACTGGCCAGAGGGTCAGCAGTA